ACACCATTCCCAAAGCCGCCAGTTGGTCTCTGCGATGCACGTTTCATGTCCATTTTGATTGGACACTCAAGAGTTTCAAGCGGTCTTCACTGCAAGGGTCCCCACAAATTTTGCTGATGGTTAAAACACATTTTTTTATTAAAACAGGCAAACAGTTTTTCATGTTCTTTGTGTGGGTCTCACACAGCAAGAGGAAAGAGAAAAACTGAGGCTCAATTGAATATGCATGCACATGCTTAGTTTTGAACCTGAGAAGAATCTCAAACGCAGCAATGAAACTGGCTAGATACAAAGTCTTGTAAAATACAGAAACTGAAAATAAAGCTATTTAGTCTCTATTCTTTCATTTGCCTTGATCTTCACTATTCATTTTGACAACAGAAGAGCAACATTTTTAAGTGTTCCTTTAAGAGTGACAGGGATGTAGGTTGTAGCCATGTTGGTCTAAGGACATAGGCAGACAAGGTTCTTTGGGTGAATCTGATATCTTTTATTAGACCAACTTAAATAGTTAGAAAAATGTTTTAGCAAGCTTTCAGGTTTAAAAACCCTTGATCAGGCTTAAGAAGTCTGCAGTTGGTGTGTGCTCTTAGAGTGAGTGATTTGGACCTGGAAATAAACCCTTTGCCTGCGTAGAACTGACTTTCCAACACACCTTGTAGAGGGGGAACAGCTTGCCTGTGATTGCAGCTTCTGGGGGTTGATAGGTTTCTGTTGGCCATTCTTCTCTTCAGTGGTGGTGGTGCTGTTTGCAGGAATCTTATGCTAGTGAGAGGCATCATGCTGAGAGGCCTGGGAATTTCTCTTCATCCACAGAACAGGCGGGGCAGGGGCAGCAACCATGTAGCCTACCTCATAGCACCCTGTTCTTTCCACCATAATTGAGAAGAGATACAGTTACCATGGTTCGTTCTGACTTGAGTCTATCAGCAAAGGAGTTAGTGTAGACACCTCTCTACTAGAAGCTGGCCAGAGACCAATCAACGGATATTAGATGGACCTTTCAACTAGTGGGAATGACCTCTGGTCACTACCAACTTGGATTGGATTTGAAAGTCTCAGCATATGATTACCAGTCCTATAGCCACTCAGCGTCCTCATTCATACTTTACTGTGATCAACTGGACTGCTGCGAAGATCTAGAATAATTTACCATAACATATTATTTAATCTGCAATGGGCTGACACAGTAAGACAGTAATACCATTAAGATGACTGCTAGTAACATCTGTCTGCAGCCTTAGTTTCTTAAGTCCTAATATTTATACTGTCACATTCCTAGTGGGATAGGACAGAAAGAGGGCATGTACAGCAAGACCTAGATTAGTGGCTGAATCCTACTGACCTGTGTGACCTGTGTACTTGTGTGCAAGGAAATGGCTACAGAGACAGGGTAGATGTCAGCATGTCTGGCACATTCCAGTCTCCCAAGACTCTGGGGTTGAATTAAGGGGTAACTTGCTAGTGCTTGCACACACAATGGGCATGTCTACATGTGCCCATACGGCACCATTGTTACTGTGCTGTCATCTAGTACTTCCTTCTGGAAGTAGTAAATGATGGTGCAGTAATAGCGTGTACTGCACCATCCGTGCAGCACTTGGTTATATTAAGCTGCTACATCTCTGTAGTGACACGCTATAATGAGGGAGTGCTTCACTATGGCGATGTAGCTGCGATGTCACAGTTTTTGCCCCCTGACAGTATGTCACCATAGTGTCACGCGTAGATGTTCCCAATGAATAGTACTTGTAGGCCACAGATGCAGCCCCTTTCTGATCTTCTGGGCACCAGAAGGCTTTGGGGACAGCTGTGTGCAAGAGGCAAAGGAACAGCACTACTAGCAGCGTAACTCCTCTCTCTGCCTTGGGAGAAAAGGCTTCAAAGCTTTTAGAATCGGCTGTCTGTTGTCTCTAATTGTCACCCAAGGGACAGGATTCCTGTCTGGACTCTGTTTCAGCAGAGGTTGGGGAGGAGGCATTTTCTTTATCTTTACTCAGGGAGAAACAAAGGTTCACTCCCTTCTTGCAGCTCTTTGCTTTTTGTCGCTCTGGATTCTTATCCTATTTCCAAAGGGCTGTTTTGTCTCTACCCCCCCTCCCCAAATACTGTGCTGTTTGGAACAGCTGATGGTGTTTTCTTAGAACAGGCCTGAAATAGGATGATGATGCAGCAGCAGAGCAGCATAGAGGTGCATTGGTAGAGCTGCATCTCTGGGATAGGGGAGTTTAGGACTGAAATTGCAGGGAGGGTTGCAGATCAGGACTGAAGAACTGTGTGTATGAGGCCAGAGATGGAAACTGCTAGTTAAAATGGGTGTGTGTCAGAGCCCAGGACTGGAAGAGCAGAGGGCTTGAGGATGGGGATTGAAAGATTTTTGTCTTAGCCCTCTACATTTGTCCATTTTTTAAACAAAGTGCAATCTCTAAAGGTGAAAACAGAATTTAGACACCTCAGGGCAATCTAGAATCCATCCCATACTGTATTCCCAGTCCTGTGATTGTAAAAGGAGTACATCCTTGTTGTCACTCAAACCTAAGGGCAAGATGACAGGATATTATAAAATTAGCTAGTGGACCTAAGTTTCCTTGCATGCCTAACAGGTAAAGTAGAATTTGTAAAGTAGAATTTGGCCTTGTGTTTCCTATACCTGTGGCATGAACAACTAGCTTCAAAAATATCCACATGGTGAATGCTCTAGTGATTTCTGTTTTTTGGAAAGGCACTTGAGGTTTCTTGGTGGGGAAGCTATTTTATCACTACTAGGAGGACCAATTCTGCAGCATTGAATAGAAGGCATTTTTAAAATCATACTGAAAACTTTCTCAGGATGGAGTGGTTGGAGAAGGATGGGCAGTTTCAAGATGTAATGTGTACCCATCTTGGCTCCTGGGACAAATTGATTGGGTCTTGCACTGGTAATTGCCAGGTCTTGGCCCCATGGGAGCCTGATATATATTTCTTGTTTCCCCAGGCTTGTCGTGATTTTCTGGAGTTAGCAGAGACCCACAGTCGAAAATGGCAGCGGACCCTACAGTATGAACGAGAGCAGAGGATTCGCCTAGAGGAAACGATTGAGCAGTTAGCCAAACAACATAACAGCTTGGAACGAGCCTGCCGAGGAGCCCCTGGCCTATCCTCAAGCACCACAGGAATCACCAACACTACCAAGGGTGAGCAGCCTCCTTCCCAGGGCTGCCAAAGGGCTGGGATGCTAATGGGGGGAACATGGGTACTCCAAGAACTCCTTGTGCTGTACCTTGGAATGCTACCGCTGCTGTGACACTGTAGGCTCAGCAGTCAGCAGTGAGCCAAGGAATCAGTGGAGGAGGAAAGCCATGA